AAGTACCAACAAGTATATCAACCAAAATATCTCAGGAATACTGACTGCTCATCATTTATCTTTTACCTCCTACAGCTGGGAGGTATTCAATCTTCAAGCTAATGAATGAGGAACTTGAAGGAAATGAATTTCATGAAATTTGGGGGAGTAACTGAGAATTTCTCTTCCTCTTTGGCCCGTGAATGGTAGATGACTAAGAACTCGTTAGTACCTTGGTGAAGGATAAGCCTCACCTCTCTGAGGAATGTGACTATGTACCTTTATGAGCTATAACCAGATAAGGAAGAATTTCAAGGGTTGAGAATGAGATAGTTCTAGAGGCACCAGAATAATCTGAAATGGTGCCATTTCCCCCGCGTATAAAGAGATTATTTTTTATTGATTTTCCAAAGTTTATTTATTTTGAGTGAGAGTGAGCAGGGGAGGGGCAGAGAGGGAGAGAGAGAATCCCAAGCAGGCTCCTGCACTGCCAGCTTAGAGCCCCACACGGGGCTCGAACTCACAAACAGTGAGATCATGACGGGAGCTGGGATCAAGAGTCAGGCACTTAGCCAATGGAGCCACCCAGGTGCCCCTACATGGATTACTTCTAGCTGAGCCTTTGAAATGTGAAAGTCCAAGTCCAGTTTTCCAGATACGCACTTCATTTCTTACTGCCCTTAGTTTGTAAACTCGTATATTCATTTGAGGATTTCAAGAATAATGTCACGACAGAAACAGAGTGCATGCACACATGTACATACAAAAAGACTGGGCGAGAATAAGAATAAACATCCCATCCTTCCAAAAGTTTCTAGTCTTATATATTCAGGATGCAGAGGTTTGTACTTTGCCTGGAGATAGGAGGTTTGGGGCAGTATTTTAGAAAGCACCAAATGCTGTCAGAGAAGTATTTGGCCAGTGTGTTCCTTATTTGCAATCCATTTCACTTTGGAAACCTAGACCTGAGCCTGGCAGAGAGCCTTCAGACCATTTTGCTATAAATAGGCACAGCTGGAATTAAGAGGTCTTCCTCTGTAGGGACATCAGATTTCATTCTCAGAACTCCTACCATGCTTTCCAAGTTTGCATACTCTCTTGAGAAAGTGCTCCAGACACAAAAATGTCTTTGATGAGGATTTTTTTTTTATTATTTAAAAAAATTTTTTTTTAATGTTTATTTCTGAGAGAGAGAGAGAGAGAGAGAGAGAGAGACAGAGACAGAGACAGAGTGCAAGTGGGGAGGGTCAGAGAGAGGGAGACACAAAATCGAAGCAGGTTCCAGGCTCTGAGCTGTCAGCACAGAGCCCGACGTGGGGCTCGAACTCACAAACTGTGAGATCATGACCTGAGCCGAAGTCAGATACTTAATCGACTGAGCCACCCAGGAGCCCCAGAATTCTTTTTGATTTTTTTTTTTTTTTTTTAATTCAGAGTCAAAGGACCAAAGGAGTGAATGGACTTAGAACAGGAGCTCTGGAGCAAGATGTCCTATGTTTGAATCCCAGATCTTCCTCCCTCATGTGACCTTGGGAAAGTTTTGTTGTTTCAGTTACCTCCTTTGTAAAATGAAATTAAAAATACTTAACTTCAGGGGCGCCTGGGTGGTTCAATCGGTTGAGCGTCCAACTCTTGATTCCGGCTCAGGTCATGATCTTGTGGTTGGTGAGTTCCAGACCCACATTGGGCTCTGTGCTGACAGCTCAGAGCCTGCTTGGGACTCTGTCTCTCACTCTGTCCCTCCCCTGCTTGTGCTCTCTCTCTCTCTCTCTCTCTCTCAAAATGAACAAACAAACAAACATACATTAAACAATATCTTAGGGGCGCCTGGCTGGCTTAGTCGGTTGCACAACTGACTTCGGCTCAGGTCATGATCTCGCAGTTTGTGGGTTTGAACCCCATGTCGGGCTCTGTGCTGACAGCTCAGAGCCTGAAGCCAGCTTCAGATTCTGTGTCTCCCCCTCTCTCCGCCCTTCCCCCACTTGCACCCTGTGTCTGCCTCTCTCAAAAACAATAAAACAATAAATAAAACAGTAAAAATATTTTTTAAGGGGCACCTGGGTGGCTCAGTCGGTGTAGTGTCCAACTTCAGCTCAGGTCACGATCTCACGGTCCGTGAGTTCGAGCCCCGCGTCGGGCTCTGGGCTGACGGCTCAGAGCCTGGAGCCTGCTTCCGATTCTGTGTCTCCCTCTCACTCTGCCCCTCCCCCGTTCATGCTCTGTCTCTCTCTGTCTCAAAAATAAATAAACGTTAAAAAAAAATTTTGGGGGTGCCTGGGTGGCTCAGTCGGTTAAGCGTCTGACTTCGGCTCAGGTCATGATCTCACAATCCGTGAGTTCGAGCCCCGCATCGGGCTCTGTGCTGCCAGCTCAGAGCCTGGAGCCTGTTTCAGATTCTGTGTCTCCCTCTCTCTGACCCTCCCCCATTCATGCTCTGTCTCTCTCTGTCTCAAAAATAAATAAACATTAAAAAAAAATTTTTTTTTAAAAACATTTTTTTTAATATTTTTTAAAAATACGTAACTTCACAGTGCTTGGAAAGAGTACAATGAGATACACATCTAAAGTAATTGAATACGGTGCCTATAACAAACCACCTAAAAATGGCCACTCTGATTATTGAGAGTTGTGATAATGCCTGATGGAGCCTTCTGCACAGGCAGCATTGTGGCCTTGAGCTTGGCGTATCCTCTCAGTGAATATGTCTACGACCCCACAAATTTTAACTTAGAAACTTCCAGGAGACTAACTGAGAGCACTTTTATTCAAGTATGCGTAGGACGTTTATTTATCTCCCACTGTGACACAGAATCAGAAAACTACAAAGAATATATAATGTATATTCCTGGTCTTTCATTCTGTGTTTCAGAGCACTTGACCTGGATGCCATCTTGTGTCTCTTCTCTCCTAAGGTCTCAGCCTGAACTCTGCTTATTTCTTGGCCCACCATTTGTTCAAAGGCCCGTCTCACTGTCATCTTTGCCCTTCTGAGCCGTAACAGGTCCCTGGTCTGCCTCTTGCCCTGTTGCCAATCTCCCTCTCGTTGTTAAAACAGCTCCTAGAAATAGAACAGATGCTTTCAGTGGTTGATAAGAAAAGTGATAGTATCCCTTGGCCTTCAAAGTCCCTCTGCCCTCCACAAAGAGGAAAAACAAACTAAAAATGAGGAAGACTCTGGATACAGAAAGTGGAAAAACACAAGCCAGGAAGTGAAAGGGTTTCCCAGGATGGTAGTGAAAGCCAGTCACTGGGACAGCTGTTCACAACACCCAAGAGAGCAAGTCCAGACATGGCTCCAAGAAAGACTCTCTTGGAGTATGAAATTGGTAGAGTACCTGACCTTGAGAGAGGAGATTGAGGTCATTGATGAGCGGTTTGAGGCTGAATCAGTGAGTACATTAAACACTAAGCAAAGGTGAGGGGTGGCCTGGGTGTCTCCGTCGGGTAAGTGTCCGACTTGATTTCAGCTCAGGTCGTGATCTCATGGTTTGTGAGTTCGAACCCCGCATCGGGCTCTGTGCTGACAATGCAGAGCCTGCTTGGGATTCTTTCTCTCTCTCTGCGCCTCTCCTGCTCTCTCCCTCTCAAAATAAATAAATAAAATAAACTTAAAAAAAAAAATCCTAAGCAAAGGGAAAAAGCAAGACAGTGAAGAAAAACAAAAAGTTGTGTGGTACAGAAAAATGAATTAGACGTCTGCGTGGCTTAGCTTTGAATCGCATTGACGTATACATGAAATATAAAATGCTGTAACGACCATACAAAAATTACGATGTAATTAGAAGGATGGGTATATTTATGGGCGGAGGAAAAGCTAAATCCCCTTCCACAGTGGAAAGTCAATAAGTAATGCTCAAAACGAAGAGAGCCACAAGGAACAAAATCAGCATGTTATTTAGAAACATGGAGTGTATACCAAAATACTCCGCCACCAGAGCAGCTGCCTTTGAGGAAGGAAAAGCTGAAAGAGGTAAGCAGGGGACTGCCGTCTTTTTGTCTTCTAGAACTTTTGGACTTTTTAAACTTTGTGCAAGTGTAGCTGCTAAAAAAAAAAAATTAGAACAAGCACAGGTACATAGCAACAAAGGCTGAAAAAGGAGGTGAGAATAATAGAAGGGAGAAAATAGGTTACACATTTTATTTACTCATAAAACGCATGTGTACAAGAGACAGGTTTGGAAACGTACTCACCATGCGTGGACTGAGGACGTTTCCCCTTCTTCTCCATACTTTTCTGAGTTTCTTGCAGCAGGGCGTGCATTACCGTTATAACAAGACGAAAAGCTATTTCGTGTTACAGGAAAGGAAACAATTAGAAAAGTGGGAGGAGAACTGTCTACCCATCCGAGCCCCACTCTGTCCCACCGGTGTGAGTTACCCCTATGCCGTGTTTTCGAAATGTTCCGAACAGAGTGCTCTATGTCTGCACTCACCACCCAGTGTTGTAATGATCCGTTTGTCTGTCCTGCCCGCTGAACTTGCCTGATAGCCAGGATTGGGTCTTACTCCCTTTTACCCCTTCAGTGCAAAGCACGAACCCTAATAAATATTAGGTGCCTAATAAATATCTGCAGGATAGAAACTAACATAGACAGCCTTTGTCATGTTAAGGAGATTAGAAAAAGTGGCACCGGGGCATGTGGGTGGCTCAGTCAGGTAGTCAGGTAAGCATCTAACTCTTGATCTGGGCTCAGGTCAAGATCATGTGGTTCTTGAGTTCGAGCCCCACATCAGGCTCTGCACTGGCAGCACGGAGCCTACTTGGGATTTTCTCTCTCCCTCTCTCTCTGCCCCTCCCCCACTCGTGTGCTCTGATTCTCTCTCTCTCTCAAAATAAATAAACTTAAAAAAAAAGAAAAAGTAGCACCCTGCACTTCAGCGTTGTTGTAAGGATTGCATGGGAAAATCCATGTAAACCAGCTCCAAACTCCAAGCATAAGTGTGTTCAGCGAACAGAGGCTGAAGATGGTCGGAGTGTGCTAATCACCATGATAAGAGTTGTATATTTTTTGTTTTCACAGATAGCCCTAATACGGGCCTTGGACCTTGTGGCTGGATTTTGGTGGCTGTCTCGTTCTTGTTCACAGTTATAACCTTCCCAATATCGGTATGGATGTGCATAAAGGTAAAGAATATTTCACTTGCGTCTGGAAAGGGGTCAAGCCCTAACTACATAAACCCCCTTTGTGTGTGTGTGTGTGTGTGTGTGTGTGTGTGTGTGTGTGTGTGTGTAAAAGAGACAGACACCTGCTGGCCTGTAGTTCTTTTTCCTTCATGACTCCTTTAGAAGATTCACTCTAGTCTATTGTGATGGAACTTTAGAACTTCTTTTCAGGCGGTCTTTCTTATAGGTAAGAAATACCTATAGTAAGGATCACCATTGGGGCGCCTGGGTGGCTCTGTCGGTTGAGCGTCCAACTTCAGCTCAGGTCGTGATCTCCAGGTCCGGGAGTTCGAGCCCCACATCGGTCTTTGCTGCTGTCATCCTGTCAGCACAGAACCCTCTTCAGGTTCTCTGTCCTCCTCTCTCTCTGCCCCTTTCCAGCTCACTCTCTCGCTCTCAAAACCACCCCCCCCAAAACACGTGGGTATGTTCAAGCTCTCCCACCGCCAAAACAAAAGTAAGGCTTACCATCGAAGTTCAGGATGTGGGACGCTCCTGTCCAGATTCAGGAGGCCGAGGTTTGGTTGCTGGCTCCATTGTTCACCATGTGACCTTTGCCATGTTTCCTTCCTGTGAAATGGGAGGAAGTAACAACACCCACTTCCTAGGGCCAGTGTGAGGATTAAAATAATGTATCTAAACATGTGTATCCAATGCCTGGCACATGGTAAATGCCCCCTAAATGCTGGTTATTTTTTCCATGAAGTTATTAATACTGTGACAAATGACTATCATTTACATATTCCTAAAGAGATAAAATATGCTCTATAATTTTCAGATAAGTTTATTGTTATGATTTAAGATATCAGGAGACAAACTATGGGGAATTTAGTTTTTTTCTTTCTTTCTTTTCTTTTTTTTTCTGTATTCACAATGCATGAGTAACTGAATGATGATGTTAACAGCTGAGGAGTGAAGTTATGGATGATTTGCTCCTGTATACTATTCTATACTTCCCAAATTTTATACCATGAATATGTATTGCTTTTATAATAACTTAAAAAAATAGTAAATACATATCATGCTTGGTGGGGGTAATAAAATATTGGACATGTGATTTATAGATACTGTTTGGATTTTATTTATTTATTTTTAATTGTTTTTTTTAATGTGTATTTATTTTTGAGAGAGAGAGGGAGAGAGAGAGTATCCCAGCACAGAGCCCGACATGGGGCTCAAACCCATGCACTGTGAGATCATGACCTGAGCCAAAATCAAGAGTCAGATGTTTAACCAACTGAGCCACCCAGGAACTCCATTTATTTATTTATGTATTTATGTATTTATTTATTTAAGTTTTATGTATTTAAGTAACCTCTACACCCGACGTGGGGCTCAAACTCATGACCTCAAGATTAAGGGTCCCATGCCCTTCCAACTGAGCCACCCAGGCACCCTGATGCTATCTGGATTTTAGAGAAAAAAAAAAAACAAAATAGAGGCATCTAATCTGTTTAGGGCAGAAATACATATTTGAGAAGCTGTTTATGTTGGGGCACCTAGGTAGATCTGTCAGATAAGCATCCAACTGCTGGTTTTAGCTCAGGTCATGATCTCACAGTTCGTGAATTCAAGCCCCCCATCAGGCTCCAAGTTGATGGTGCAGAGCCTGCTTAGGATTTTCTCTCTCCCTGTCTCTACCCCTCTCCTACTTGTGCTCGTTCTCTCTCAAAATAAACAAACTTAAAAAAAAAGAAGCTGTGTATAAATAAATAGTGGATATAAATATTTGCACTCCTCATGTTAAATTATTATTATTTGTGTTTTTAACCTAGATCATAAAAGAATATGAAAGAGCCATCATCTTTAGATTGGGTCGCATTTTACAAGGAGGAGCCAAAGGACCTGGTCAGTATAAGGGTTCTGGGTGGTTGTCTGGAGACTGGAATTCTTCCTCCTGTTGATGTGAATTCCCTTCCAAGGGCCCTTTCTCTGTTGGCTTAGAAAAGAGTGCATGTGTAACAATAGCAGTGGCACGAGCCAGTCTTGCCATAATCACCCTTTCCTTCCCTTAGCTCCCCTCCCCTTCCCATCCAAGCTGATAACATTATTTTAGGCCAAGAATAGCGGCAGCCATGGAAGTCTGAGCATGAGAATTCCTATTATGCTAAAGGCTTTCAGTCATCGCTTTTGGCAAACTTCACTTAAGCCCCTACTGCATTCCAGGCTCTGGGAATTCAAGGGAGACTAAAATATAGTTTGTGCCCTCAAGGATCTTGCTGTCTAATGGACACCAAAAAGGAAAACAGTTACAACCCCGTGTGATAAGTATGAGGATCAAGTAATTGCAGATAGCTGTGGAAACCCAGAGACAAGTAACTGACCCGAATTAGTAGGAGGAGACCATCTGGGCTGAAGGTGACATCTCGGCTGAGTCTTGAGGCCTGGAGAGGTGTCAGCCAGAGGGGAGGTGTTCCCCGCAGAAACGGCAGCAGGCGCGGAGCGATGTAGAAGGGGGCACGGCAGACCCAGGGAACTGCAGGGAACAGCCCAGCAAGAGCATAGAGCACGAGGACGGGAGAAGAGCTGCAGAGGGGCCTGGGCAGGTTGGGCTGGACCTCGTGTGACGGGTTCAGGGCTTTGCAGTTCAGGAAAGACTTGTGCTTGTGGCTGAGAAAACGGGCCATAGGAGAGAAACTGAAAGATACAGAAAGACTTGGGAAGGATTGCATTGGTCTAAGTGAAAACAAGACGGCCAGTGACAGCGGAGTAAGGAAATGAAATCACGGGCCTCAGTGGCAACAGTTTGGTGGGGGAAGTAAGCAAGAGGATAGCATTCCTGGCGTCTGGCTCAGGCACTGAGACGAACTGGCTTCTTTCAGTTGCCTAAGTGGATTCTCTGACGGTGAACGGATTCGGCGCTGGCGTCTCTCCGTAACATTCTGTGTTTCTTTGTTGCAGGTTTATTTTTTATTCTGCCGTGCACGGACAGCTTCATCAAAGTGGACATGAGAACGATTTCATTTGACATCCCCCCTCAGGAGGTAAGGTTGTCTTTTGCCATGAGTAACAGATGTCACATGTGAAAGTACTTAGCAATGAGCGAGGCAGAGGAGAGCGGTGAGAGCACAGGTGGAGAGCCTGTCGGCCGTCACCGTTTTCCAGCTGTGTGACTTTGAGCAAGTTCCTCAACTTCTCTGTGCCTTAGTTTCCTCAGCTGTGAAATAGAGGTTGTAACAGTAGGACCTACTTTATAACGTTCTCGTGGGGACTACGAGAGGTTATGTGTAGAGTGCTTAGAACAGGGGCTGATAAGTTAGTAAGTGCTATGTAACTGCTTCTTACTACGAAGAGTAACACAATGTTAACTCAAGTGTAATGTTAGCTTGTCATACTTGTCATCACTTTTACTACCACATTTCTCTGCTGCTGGTTTCTGATAGAAAATCCAGCTTAGGGGCGCCTGGGTGGCGCAGTCGGTTAAGCGTCCGA